GTTGGGGACATTGTGTACGTATGTTGAAGAAAGAATTGTGCTGAAATTTAAATTCATAACCCTTGAGTTAAGCTTTCTATGAGTTGTCAAGTTATTCTTAATTCAAACAAAAACATTCTGTAACTATTTCCTTGCAAGTAAGGTGTCTGAAAATTTCACAGGATCATTACTCTGATAATTTATTTGAACAACTATCAATATCTCTGCTCATAAAGAAAATAGCCACTGTCTAAGGATTTTTATTGCTATGTTTTTTTCCCCCTTAAGGCAATGAAAATGGCTAAAACCCAGGGAACTACCCTGGACAACAGAAATCTAAGATTCTTTGCAGTAATTTTCTAAGACCACCCCTCTCCCCCGGGGATATACACAAATGCTTCTACTTTCTTAATGCCTAAAGCTTTCTTAGATTTTCAAAACAAAATTCTAACTTCCTCATATCCTTCAGTAATTTATTTTATTCCTTTAACTCCTTGGGAAAATGTTTTCTTTAAATGAGAGTGCCATACTTGAGATAGTAAAAGTCCAAAGCAGTGATAAGTACTTTAGCTATGTTCAGTCACTCATACTGAGTTATTTCTCTACAAATTTTATCACATTATAAAAATGATCATAAAAATTTACTCCCTGGTTATATTTTTGTTTAAATATTTTTGAAATAATATCCTTTTACACTGACTATAAGGACTTTTAGATTAGTTTTAGCTCTTCTAAATAATGTCAGGATTTTACCAAGATTAATCAATGTTTATTATCCCAAAACAAAGATCTTTTACATGATCTGGAAGAAAACTAAACGTGTGGTTTCAAAGTAATTGAGATTGGAGAAAATCCATATAGCTAATAAAACTTGTATCAATATTAAGCTAAGTTTAGGAAATATTCAAGTTATTCCAAACTACATTGTAACTTCATGTACCTTAATAAAGTTTTGTCAATTGAATGTCATATCAAATAATTCCAACAATCCCAGTTTTAAACTTTTAACTTTTTCTCCATATTTATTCTTTGATTTGCTTTATATTAAAACTTGTAGAGAAGCTTAGCATTGTTTGAAAATTTAATTGCCATAACTGCACTTTAATAGCTAGGATGCTATTGACCCATCTAAAAAATGATTAATTCCTGCATCAGAAAAAAAGAAAAGCAGCCATGACCTTTGGAAACAGGCCTGACCTACATGTAGGCCTCTGTGTTGTTAGGAACTGGCCTGGCGCTTATAGCTAAGCCATACAGTTCTTCTGTTGAATATAAACAACATCACTTCAGACAAGGTCACAGGACGATGATGTGAGACAAAAAAAACAACTTTATAATTTTGTCTAAGCTCAGACAAAAACAAGGTCACTGTGCACACCACACAATACCAAACATCCCCCTCTCCTGGCTAATATGAGTAAATGCTACTTTCCAATTACAGCTTTAGCCTACCTCTAGTCTTCCCTCTAAGTAAGATTTGTTGAAATAGCCAATCCCAGAATTATCCCTGCTTCCTGAAGAGCCCAGTGGACAGCAAAGCTGTGTCTCCTTGAACCCTTCCCCAAATTGCTTAACCAAAATCCAAATCTTTCAAAGAGTCCTTTGACACCCTGATTCCCAGAGTTGCCAGTCTCCCTCACTGCAATGAGCAGTAAACCCAACTTGTTCAACTTCAGGTGTGGTCCTGGTGGTCTTTGAAAGTCAACAATGACAAGTGTATACCACAACATTTGTGAATAGTGGAGTGTTAGTTAAATAAAATATGAGAGATTTTTATAAACTAAAGTTCTAGTAAGATGTCAATGTATCAAGAGTTCTAGGTTAGGAATTTTGATTTTCAACAGCATAATCCAAGCCCACACGTTTTAACATTTTCCTTTTAAGATATATTTAATGAACAGTTCTCTTTTCAAATACAAAACATTTGTACTTTCTATTCTGAGTACACAAAGAGGTTTACTATCTCAACTAATTAAAGACCTATGGCCCTAAAGAGAAGTCCATTCTTGTCAAGATTCTTTTCATTATGCTTGGGTGATCTTTGTTCTAATTCAGATTTTAAATTAACATTTAAATTAATGGCAGTGTACCTGACCTTTAAAAAATAGTAGTGGATCCATATTCATTATACTGTCAAGTATAAAAAGTAAATAACATTTTTCCTTTTAATTACGACTTTAAATGGTGGAATTTTAAATTATTGTATGCATCAGTACAATAGAAAGAGGATTTTTTTATCCATTTGTTGAATTATTCTTTAATATCATTGCTTCTGTGTGTGCTGAGGATGTTATTATAATGTATGCTTTTATTACTAGAGTCCCAATGGAATGAATTTACAGTCAGTCCCCAGCTCACTACACCAGGCCTTTTAGGAGGTTTAATTTGTAGATATTTAAGATCTCCTGTAGAACAGAATCAGCTGGATCCCATCTCCCTGCTATCTCTGGATGCCTTTTAAAGTCTTTACTTGGGAAGAAACCGAGTTTTTCAAATAACCAGGTACCATATGGAAAATCTGTTGGTTTGTGATTGTGCTTTATGTAAACATTTTAATATGTGATCCCTAAAATCCAGGGTCTCCCCCAAAGAGGATTAGAGCATAATCCCCTCTCTCTATTGCTGTAGTGGATTAACTCTGTATTCTCTCTGTGGCTGGTTTGCTCCCTGAAGGCTACAACAAAAAAAACTCAGTGCTCCTTAAACATGCTATGGAATGGAAGTTGTAATTGGAGATTTCCAAAGTACAAGGGGGGGGGTTGACACACTATTTAAGGCTGAATATTTCGTGATGTGTCTTTCTTAAAGACTAATTTGAAGCCCTTTTAGAAACTTCCAGAAAATCCCAACTCAAAAGAACGAAATTGGAGTAGAATCAAAACGAAATGCAGTTGTCCCCTTTCAGAAACGCAGAGAAGTTGAGAAAATGTGTTCCCTGTTAGAAGTTCATGGGTTGTGTACTTAAAATTCTTAATATATTTCAGTAAATCGGTGAATATGGTTTTGATAATTCGTTTCATAATTTTTCCTCAATTTCCCAATTTAATTGTTTGGATACGTTACATTAGTTTTTAAGAGACATAAGCGGTTCGCCATTTTTAATGTTTTTGACCATTTTTCGTCTCCAAATGCTAGAAACCACTGTTAGCCATAAATCACTAGTTCTCTGTATTTAGAATGAAGACTTTTCTGAGATTTAAGCAAGGCCAAAGACGCACTGAGACGAGGCTTTGCTTCCGATGTGAATCTCTTTGCCTTCCTTCTCACTTCGCCCCAATCCAGAGTAAACCGCAGGGCTTTCTACAGCTGGGAAGTTAGGGTGGCGGCCCCGGGAGCGCCGTGGTCGCTTAAGGGTTAAGGGAGCGGTTCGAACGGGCCCCAGCGTTGGGGGATTCTGAGGAGGGCACGGGAGGCAGGAGGCGCCGCCGAGTGCGCGCAGACCCTCCAATAAACACAAAGGAGGGCCTGGGGAATAGAAACCCAAATCCACTTGTAATCGTACAAGAGATTCGGGCATAATTACTTGAGCAACCTAGATTAAGATTGATGAGCCTTTAAAGTGGCGCTTCAGATCGACCGCCTCGCCCTTTGAAAAGGAAAACCTTGCGGAGCCGAGGTGGACCCCGACTCTTGGCTGCGCGGCGGAAACCGCCCGCCTGAGACCCAGGCCCGGTCCCCAGAGCTCCTTGGGGGACGGACAGAAAGCAGTAAAACGAAGGAAAAGGTCTTGGCTAGTCTGAGGGAGGCGGTCACGATCGGGGGTGAAAGCTGACACAGTTTGTGCATAGCCACCTCCCTTTAAGCACGACGGAAGCCGGCCCAGTCCCTCCGTCCCTCCAGCCACAGAAACGGCCCGGCTTTGTGCAGGACGGTCGCAGGCTGGTGTGCTGCTCCAGTGAACGCGAACCTCGCGATCCCCACTGTCAACCGCGCGTGCCGGGCGGTCCACGCGCAGTGGCGCCGGCGACGTGAGCGGAATCGCGGGTCGGGCCTGCGGGCCGCAGGGGACCTGGCTTTTTATAGCCTTTCCCGGTTAGTTAGAGCGACCCTTTTCAGGGGATTAAATGGCAGGGATTCTGATGTACCCTGTACCAAAACGGGGAGTGGGGAGGAATGAACGCGTTGTTTCTGAGTTCCACGTCGTGTGTTAAGACAGGATCATGAAAGATGCCTCCGCTTTGGGGGATTTAAAAGACGGCATTTGAATCAGTATTCTGATACGTGGACTCAAAACGAGGGAATCTGAAGTAAGCACCCAAGTACTCACACATTCTAAAAATCTCTTACTGAATCCTAGTTCCTTAGTTTCAGAAGTTGGGAAAAGGCATTCAGACGCTTTTTTTGAGATTCCTTTTGTTCCAGCGTCTTGCTTAAATTTGCATCATTTTTGACCGATTCAGTGGTGAGAAAATGACTGCTAAGATTTTCGTTCTTTTCTGCATAAGAACTTTAATATCTGTATACTTATGTACATGTGGCGCGCCTTAGGACGCCGATATTCAAATAAATTGTTCTGCAAGTTGCTGACCCCTCATTACTGAGGAATTTATAAATTTCGATCTTTTCCCCCTAGCCTCGTCTCACCTCCCCTTAGGGTGCGCAGCCACCGAGTGGAATGGCTTGAGGTAATGGCTGATCACTGGGCCAAATGCCTAAGGTTTCTTGGAAAACCGGCAATGCTCAGTAGGTAAATTCGGGCCATACGGAGTCAGTTCTGCATGTTTAAATTAGTCGATGGCAGCACTTCATCAACCATGTAGGATTTCAAGACAGAGGATGAAAACTCTGTGCTATTATGAGTCGCTTATTCAGTGTCCTGACCTCTTGGGTTTTAATAGAATTATTTATCTCTAGTCTCATTATAAGTAATGTACAAAAGCTAAGCAGACCCTGTCTAACATGAAAAGACCTTGCATCATAATGTAGGCACCATTTTTTTTCTAGTGCATCTTTAAAAATAAAACCCTGCAGTTTGAGAGGGCCAGAGGGGCTCAGACTGACTCCTTGCCCTTGTCTTGCAGGCCCTGTGGTTCTCAGCACCCCTGCCCAGCTCATTGCTCCTGTGGTGGTGGCCAAGGGGACTCTCTCCATCACCACTACAGAAATCTACTTCGAAGTAGATGAGGATGATCCAGCCTTCAAGAAGATCGACACGAAAGTGAGTTAAAGTGATTGCATGTTCAGTACTGGTGGCTTTGTAGCAGGAAGTGGTTTTCAATTTTGCTTGGTTTTAAATGACAGTGGGGGAGGGGAGCACATTTTAGTCTTTCTGATAGAAAATAAAATGAATGAAATAACACGTGTTCTCTGTTATGGAATTGAAGAATATACTAATGAGTTTAAACCCTGTCTTACCAGGACATGCACATTTTAACAGTCTTTCTATGCTTGCCTTTGTGTGCACTTGGTCAGATTTGGTAGTTAAGCCAATTGCTTCCAAGTAGTGCCCCTACTCCCATCCCCCCTCCCCCCACACATACACTAGGAAAGATCTTATGAAATTTCATATTAAGATCACTTTTAATTTCCAAAGGTATAGATTGCAATGTGAATTTTTATGTATTGGAAAGTTATAAGGAAACTGAGGTGGGAGCCATTTATATACAATTTCATCTCCATTATTACATCCATTTTTCATCTCCTGAATTAAGAATAGACTTTACATATGGGTTTAAGAGAAAGAGAAACTGACTTTCTTAAACCTTTGTTGTCAAATGTATATACATAGGATAAGTTAGCACTCTGATGTGTATTCTTCTTTGGATGTAATGCCAGAAAATAGATATTTGGACCATTTGAAATGCATAAGTATTTATTATTTTATCTTATAGATTTTAAACACGTGAGCAGTAGAGTAGCCCTACACCTAGCACTGCCTTCTGAGATACAGTTTATTAACTTTCATGTTACTGTGTAACTAGCAAACTTTTTTCTGAGGTTAAGAATTCAATATAATTGTCATACAGATATACTGGCATCACTTTGCAAAGATCTTTTAAAATGTTTTCAAAGGTAGTTATTCTAAAATACTCAAATTCTCCCATAGATCTAGAACTGTATTATTTATATTTAACTTACATATGGAAATAAAGCATTATAAAATATTACTTGTAAACTAGCAAGTCAAATTCTAAAGTCTATCACCACCTGAGTTAATTAACTTAAGGCCCATCAGTAATCAGTCCTTCAGCACTTGTTGGCTATTAAAATATTCCAAGACTTCTTTCACTTCCAGCTCCAAAAGCAATGAATTTTTAAAATGAGTTTGAATACACTGTATGACTAATTAAAAGCTATGTTTTGCCATTAGCTTGCCCTATGGGGTAAAAAGGAATTTGGGTCTTGTGATTAATTTATTCTGCTACAGGAACCCTTATTTTATAAAATATGTTTGACAAAGTATATTAGTTTAAAATGATCTTTATTTTATTAGCTTACTTTCATATACAAATTTCAAAAATTTGATTATGACTTTAAGTTCATTTTGTCTGAATTAGTCTGATTTTAATTGGGTCATTTTCAACTACTGTCATAACAGATTATTCCTTATATTGTCAAAAATGCTATAGAAATACTAACCAGAAGAGCAAAGTTTCAAAGGTAGATTTAAATTGTGTTGGTGATAGAAAGGAATGGTCTTATAAGTAGAAACTGAAAGGAGATGGATGTCTTCTGTAGCTATATGAAAAGAACTTTTCTTCAATATTTTTTATGATTTCATTAGCCTGTTTCTCAAAATGTTTAAAATATTCAAGTGCAGTTGATTTTCAAAATAAAGCATCACATCTTTTGATAGAAAAACAATTTAAAGTTAAGACACAACTTGGTATTTTACTTCATTTATTAGTTTCTAATTAAATAAAAATCAGCAACAGAAATTAAAATCTAAATCACAAAAGTAATTATCCAGTGTATTTCAAGTGCATTTTCAAATATATAATTCAGATATTCAAACGTTATTATATAAGCTGAATTCAGATTTCTTTGAATATATTTAAATAACATTTCAAGTATATTTATGGAATGTTAGAAATAAAACAAGCAATATATTTGAAACAAAATGTAAACTCTTTAAAGTTCAGACACTTTCAAAAACAGATAAAAGTACCAGGAGGAAATCTACCTTTAAATGGTATCTTTGTTAGTGGAAAATGTCTGGAAGAATCCAAGATGGCAATTTAAGTTCTGTTCACCAAATCACAAAACAACGACATCCACACTTTCAAAGACAAGGTGAGATCACAATTTTTGTTACAAATCAAAATATACATTACACTTTCCTTCAGATGGCATATCCAAATCGTGTTTACTCACAGACAGATGCACCTAAATCGCCAGGATTGCTATAATCCTTTGATAGTTAGGCAGTGTTCACTGTGATCTTGCATTACAGCTGCGCTGATTTCCCCGTGTTGTGAATGTTATCATATATTTTCAAGAGAGATAAGAAATTGTGTGTAAAGAAGTCTTCTAATACTTGGGTTTGATTTTTCTCCATCCTTTGCTGCGTCTCCCTTTTTTTTTCTCCCCTTGGAGGGCATAGATGAGATGATGATTAAACATTCTATTGTATGATTACTCCTTTTTAAGGACGAGACTATTTGCACAGAAGCGTGGAATATTATTAGATAGGAATCGAACAAGAAGTTTTCATTTAATTAGGACTTTGAGAAGAGTAATCATTTCACCTCTTGATTAGCTAATCCTCTAAAGTTTTTCCAAACTTTTCGGGTTGGTCAGGATCTCTCGTGCCAATCGCCACGTTTGTTTGGCAGCGTTTTCCAGAGCTGAGTGAGGTTTGCCTTGAAAGAGATCTAAATTTGGTAGGAAGTAGTGGGGACACCGCCGGCACTGCAGGCAGGAGATAAGTTGCAGCAAAATCCCGTTCAGCCGATCTCCCAGGCAAGACTCGTCCCAGTCCGACTCCCTGGGATGCTTTTCACACTCGTAGGAAACTAAAGTCTTCATGTGGTAATTGTTTAGGGGCTGGCCGGGCAGTTCAAGGTGACGATCCCGCAAGGTTTTGAGGATGGACAGACATTTCTTCCTGCAGCCCCCCATCTGCAGTCTGTTCTCTGCCTCCGCGAACTGCAGCACCCAGGCGTCGCTCTCGGCCGAGCTCTGCTTGCCGGCCAGGGAGTGGCACTCCTTGGACAAGAGATTGAACCCTTCCGCTTTGACCTCCGCCACCCGGTTGGGGCCAGGCCAGGGGATGTGGGGAAGTGGCCAGTGGGCAGCACTCCTCGGCCAGATCCCGGTGCATTTAAAAGCCGGGGTGATCTGCACCACGTACCTATCTCGAATTCTCAGTTTCACTTCGCTGGTGTCAGCCACCATCTTTACCACATCCCTGTAGCTACATTTGTCTACCGCTTGAGCCACCAGCGTCTGAAACCTGGACCGAATTTTGCGCGCCGAGAGATAGCCGGAGGCGGTAATGAATTCCACCCAGAGGGACATGCTCCTCTTGCGCCCGTCGCTCAACTTCAGGACCGCGCAGCCTGGCAGCGAGCCGTCGTCCACGAAGTTGAACACCCCCATTTGGTTAAGATAAAGCACCACTTCAAATTCGGTGGGTGAGATGACCTCGAGGCCCTCGTAGCGATTGTCCATCTCGTTGAGAGAGCTGATGAAGCGGGGCTCCTGCACCTCCACTTCCTTCAGGACGTCGGAAACTACTTTGCAGACTTCCCGGATAGTTTTGGCAATGGCAGCTTTCCTGGCTTGGCATTTTTCATTGTAGTACTTATTCAGATGGTAGACCAGCTTGGCCTGAGCCGCGATCATGTTGGGACAGAGATCCGGATTGTACACCGGAGTCTCGCAGTAAGCTGTGGGATCCAATGCGGCTGCTAGCGCTGGAGCCAACTTCGGTGGAGAAACGGGCCGCAGCGCTCAGAAACGTATCTAAAGTGTCTTTCCGTCGCACGGCAGCGGTGGCTTCCCCGCTGCGGCCGCTTTCCCCTTCCTTTTATCTGAAAGCCCAGCCGGTCTTAAAGTGAAAGATTGTTCTCCCCCCTCTCTGTCTCTCTTCCTCTTTTAAAGAATCCTTAGTGTGAGAGAAACGCGTGGAGAGATCACCTTCTCAGTAATAAAAACAAAAGTTGCGCTGAGACCCAGCAAAGGTCTTCCAGTAGTCAAAATAATCACCCCTTTCCAGTATTTATTTACGCTTTCCAGAAATCATTGTGTGCAGGACTGTTAATCAGATGGAGGAAAAGTGTGCTGAGTGTTCGTCGGGGGTGAGTGTGCGTGTGCGTGTGTATATGTCAGAAAAAGCTGCTGTTGGTTTGTCTAAGAGCCCAGATGCACTCGTGTGGAAATTATAAAGGCAGGGCCAGGCAGGCGGGCGGCCAATCGCCACTGGGCTCGTCACGACAGCCTCCTTCAGCCCCAACCCGGCTAATTAATCCCCTCTCATGGATATAGGCACACAAACTAAAGGTAGGAGGCTGATGCCGGCAGAAAACCACCCAGGCCACCTAGACAGTTTGGAAATCAAGAGGAGTCACTTGCTTTCCTATTACTTGAAGCATATTGACATTTTGAAAAGACTTGGCCAAGTGGCTCTCTTCTGTTCTGAAAATCCTGCTTGTCTGTTTACCACGGAAATGCAAATACAGGTGTATTAATGGTCATCCATCAATTAGTGAACTAGATGGGGGTTTCTAAAACAAAGTCACTAACATGCATTTAGAGTAAGATAATTAATGTCTGTCAGCCCTTGGGGTCTTTTTGAAATGCAGGTTGGAAGTTTGCTCTTTCAGGCACAGACTTCTACCATAAGGAAGCTGACTTTTAGGTGGAAGAGGAGTACTTGAGTAATTTTCTCATCCTAGATGTTCTTATATGTCAGAATGATTTTTTCCTCCTTTGCACTTGTTGAAAAGAATCTGAAAATTATTGCTTAGTCTGGCAGATGTTATCTATCCCACTTTCCCTTGGGACATTTAAAAATGTTGCAGTCCTTGCACAGGTAGGTAGATTTGCCCAGTGTACAAACAGAACACTAAGCTCTGTATGTACTTATAGAAATATTTTAATGAATTATTACTTTTGTGTGATTTCATAATCAGCTGTATTTCGATGCATGAAATTTAGAAGAGATTGTAGAGATCAAACCCACTGGCACATAGGGTACTGAATATTTGAAGGTTT